TATATATGGAATATTTGTGTCTTCCTTTTAAAAATGTCTTCCTCTGTGTGTGTGTGTGTGTATCCTCACTGAGTCTTCCTTTTAAAAATGTCTTCCTGTTCCAAGCCATGGAGAGAAGTTATTTACACTAGTTGCAAAGCTAAAGTTTAAGGAGGACCAGGTGGGCTTTGATCCTGTTGATCAACCATCAACTGTGCATCCAGTCTGGTCGTCTTCCTTTTTCTTCTACCACTGTCAGAGCTCTGATATGGGAGAGGTAAGGTCTGCAAATACATCTAGTCTGAGAGGGGGGATTCAAAGACAGATCTGCTCAAAGGGGCAAACCTGGAGAATCCAATGGCCCCTGGTGCATACTTTCAGAGGCCATACAACTGCGCCTTTAGAATTTTACTGAAAGAGAAAACAGTCGTAATAGGCATGGTTGTGAGCCAACTTATGTTGCAATCCCTTTTTAAAGGCCTATCATTCAAAGCCATTTGAAAGTCAATACTTTAATCAACTTGGAGATCTTCCCATATCCACTGCGATATCTTTCCCTCCTGTCCTCAAATCAGGTGAACAGCTTGTTGCTTGGAAAAAACTTGACTTGCCGTGCCTTGGAAACAAAGCCAGCAAAATTGCCACCTCCCCTGGGGGGGGGGGGCAGCAGTTTCTCCAGCACCTGTTTGTAGAATGAGGAGCAGGAAGGGAATTCTGTTTGCTTGCAAGCATGGATCCTGCGCTAAAAGCCATCCATGGCTGCACAGAGCCAGCTAGAAAGCATGGAGCATGAAAGCCTGCAGCAATAATGGCAGCGCAGCTGGAGCTGCAGCAGACAGGCAGACCATCTCCTGCAGCCCCTCTGCTGCAGAGCAGAGGGGCCAGGATCCCCATGGTGTGAAACTGCAGAAGTTGCCAATAGGGATTTCTACCACAGCAAAAAAAAAAAAAAAATTGGCTGCAGGCAGGGGGGATCTGTTCTCTTAGACCAGTGTTTCTCAACCTTGACAACTTCAAGACGTGTGGACTTCAACTTCTAGAATTCCCCAGCCAGGGAATTATGGGAGTTGAAGTCCATACATCTTAAAGTTGACAGGGTCGAGCAACACTGAACCATGGCTGGATGGAAGTGGGCGGTCTTACCTGCCTTAGGCTCCTCTCCATGCAACACACAATATTGGCCTAAAGACTGGGAAGTGCTGGTTTCCCAGCAGATTGCTTTTTTCCAGACTCAGCCTGCCTTAGTGGTAGGCTGGCCCTGGGATAGAGACAATGTTGTAAGGACATGACTTTCACAAACGGCAAGCAACCCGGTTTGGAGCTGGAGCAGGAAGGAGGTATGGGGAGGTTTGGGTCCAAGAACTGAACCATCATCTTGTCTGTTTATTTTGCAGCTCTAGATGCTTCAAGAAGGGATCTTCTAAAACTAAAATAGATTCAGGCAAGAGACTGATTAAATAACAGAATTCCAATAGATCCTTACCCTCTCGGTTAGCTATGGCTGATGAGTACTGGGAAGAAATACTACATGAAAAGAAAAAAAATAAGATCCATTAGAGGAACATAAAAAATAGCAATGCAATAAAACAAATGTAGAAGTGATGGCTGGTGGGGGTCTTCCGGGCTGTGGGGCCGTGGGCTTGAAGTCTTGTTTCCTAACGTTTCGCCAGCACCTGTGACCGGCATCTTCAGAGTGCAGGAGCACAGACAGGAGCAGTATGCCGGCCGTGAAAGCCTTCGACAATACATCAAATGTAGAAGTGATTGCCAAAGTTGCTAGTCTTTAATAAGAAGGAAACAATGACACTTGAACCAAGTCTGATTTAATTCATAATAATTTTCTTTATAATAAAATTACAGGAAGTATTTCAGAGTCCTGAACTACATTGGTTATAATCATTACATTTTCAGCTGTGGCTGAAATTAGTAGACTAGTAAAGGCATAGGATGGGGAATAAGATCTTCTGTTCTAGCACCACCTTTGTCCTTAATTGTACTTGATTTACAGCCACTTGAACCACAATAGCCCAACTTACTGTATCAACAACATGCACTAACAAAAGTTTGAAATAATGGAATGGCAACAAAAATAATCTTAAATAATTATTGTCAGTCCCATTCAGGCACTAAAATATCTTTCAGGAACCCTAGGATATTTACTCTGGTGGATTTCTGACCTTCATCCAATTTTCCCTATTAGCCATTTTAAGTCCGAATGATAGAACTCTTTTGACCTACTAAGCTTCCTCTCCCTCCAGCAGACGACAGTAGGTGGCAATCTCCTGTTCCAGACGTGTCTTGACATCAAGGAGTATTTTATACTCATGGTTCTGGCGCTCCATATCACATCTCAAGATGGCCAACTCCTCTTCCACATTGATAATCAGAGCCTGGATCTGGGCAAGCTGAATACCATAGCGAGATTCTATGTCTGCTAAAGTCCCTTCCAGTGCTGCTTTCTGGGAAAAGGGGAGGAATCAGAGTCAGTGTTAAAAAAGGATATAAACTCCATCTTTTGATGAACAAGCCATAGCAGCCTGGCTAAGCAACACAAAACACTAGGTCATAAACTATGATTTATTGACCTCAGTGGTTGGGTACAGATATTGCAGTAAACCAAAAGCAGACCAACCTCATTATGGGTTAGCAAAATAATGGTGTGACAGAGACTCCAAAACTGTATGCACCCCCCCCCCCCCCACTATTGTATACAGCTGCCAGAGCCACTAGGTTTTCATCATCATTACAAGAGAATGAGAACATTCTTCACATTATCTGTATTTTCTTGATCTGTTTTAATTTAACTTTTTTAAAATTAAAATGGCATTATTTCTGTCCTACCCTTACCTGCTTCTTTGTCATAGCCTTGTCTCCTTTGGGAGTTTGACTCCCAGCATGTCACTCAAAGGCCAAGTATACCCTCAGCCTAAAACAGTTGCCCACCTCTAGCTTAGCACAATGTGTCAGCCCAGTGTAAGACCCTACCAAGATTTCCTGCTGCATTACCTAAGAGAACATGAATCATGGAAGGAAAGGTGTCCTCCCCACCCAAGAAGTTTGTCTGCCCTTGATAGCTTATTCACAGCGGTCCTCAGGGGACTCTTTGAAAACAATTTATCTATAGAAACTAAGAGGCTCTTGCATGTATGTTGATGTCATTGTCAAAAATGTATCTTTCTTACATGTACAATAGTTACAAATAAGGGTTAGGCAGAAAAAACTGCCACATTTTTCCCACCCATTGTCATTCAGTTTGATAAGAAAGAATTGACTTTTGAAGCTCAGTTCAAAAGAGAAGAGAATGTGGATGACGTTTTCTTGAGAGGAGTTTGACATTCTGGTAGCTATTTAGCTATGAAGTGGCAAAGAGCATGTGAGAATGTCCCAGCATTCATACCCTGGTCAACTTTCCATGGTCTGCAGCTGTAGAGGAAAGAGGGAATGCCCTTGGAGAACAGGAAGAAGAGCCGCTACCAAGGCAATGGCCAGATAAGCAGGGCTTGAGCCCATTCCAAGAAGCTAATTTGAGAAAATATCTCAGACAGGCCCCTCTCTAGTTCACACAAAGATAAGGTGAGGGAGGGGGAAGCACATTCAGACTTGCAAGATTCTGTTACTAGCGTGTGGAAGAGCAGGCTGTGGAGAAAGAATTGCAGGCACCTGTGCGGCCTCCCTCCCCTCCTACCTGAGCCTTCTCCCCTGCATCAGCACGGCAGAGGGGCCAATAAAGCTGTAATCTTGGAACAGGTGGGAGAGGAGAACAGAGGAGACATGCGTGGTTTTGAAGCAGCAGCAGCCACCACATGAAAGCAGGTGCTGAAGGTCCAAACGAGAGGAAAGGACGTATAGCAACCAAGCAAGACAAAGCACGATGAAAAAAAAGATGCAAGAGGTCTACAAGCTGAGGAGGAGAAGGAGAAGGAGGAGGAGGAGGAGGAGGAGGAGGAGG